GAAAGAAAGAAAGAGAGAAGAGAGAAAGAACAAAAGAAAGAAAGAAAGAAGAGAGAGAGAAAGGAAGAAAGGAAGAAAGAAAGAAAAGAAAGAGAAAGGAAAGAGAGAGAGGGTGGGAGGGAGGGAGGGAGGGAGGGAGGAAGAGAAGAAGAAGGAGGAGAAGAAGAAAGAAAGAAAGAGAGAGAGAAAGAGAGAAGAAAAGAAGAGGAGTGGGAAGAAGAAGAAAAGGAGGAGGAGGAGGAAAGAAGAGGAGGAGGAAGAGGAAGAGGAAGAAGACATTAGTGTAGAAATAGAGAAGGGCACCTGGTTCTTCCTGGACAAGTCAACAATATTCTCCTTTGACCTCCTAGAATCTCTGTCTCCAGTCTTTAAAAAATAAAGATAATTAAACTTTGTCTATATGAAAATGGAGATCTTCAACTTATAAAAACACCATCTTTTCTGGGTTTTTTTTCCTTTTCTGAACCAAGTTCTCCCATGTATCTGAGGTTGGTCTGGAATTTATTCTATATCCTAGTCTAGTTCCTAATGTATGATTCTCCAGACTTGGCCTCCTTAGTGCTATAAGTACAGGTGTATATTACATGTCATATATACCTCCATAGGCCTTTTCCTTTGTGTGTATGTGCAGTAGTAGGAATCAAATTCAGGGCCTTGCAAATATTGGACAAATGCTCTACCACTGAGCTTTACCCTCAACCAAAACATTATTACTTTCAAACATTTCCAGTTAATCTTAAATAAAAATAGACTGCAAATATTCATGAGGAATTAATAATTTTCTATGATATCTGGCATTTTCCTACCTACTAAGAAACTAGAAAACAATTGTTTCTATCATGGATGCCTACTAAAATAATCTTTAAATAATGATCTACTATAAAAATAAAGGATCACTATTTAACAGTAAGGGCCATTTCATTAAAAGATGTTTGGCAACCTGATTTTAGAATTTAATATTTGACTCTTAAAGATGGACTTATTTTCAGGAAAAAAGAGAGGTCAAATTCTCTGAGGTTTGTAGGGGGTTTATGAATACTGTTATCTATGCTATACTGATTTTAGCAAGAGAGAATATAAGATTAGTAAATTCAAGACCAAACAATTCAGATTGAGAACCCCAAAATATTACACATAAGTGGATAAAAAACAGAAGCAATGTACAACCAGAAGGACCACAAATTTAAAACCAACCTGGACTACATAAGTGAGGTTCTGCCTTAAAAAAAAAAAAAAAAAAAAAGACAGGGGGGGAGGGGGAAGGGGAAGAGGAGGGGAGCAGAGGGGAGGGAGGGGAAGGGAGGGAAGGAGAAGAGGAAGAAAGGGGGAAGGGAAGGAGAAGGAAAATTCCTCCAGTGTTTGTCTGGAGAATCCTTTTAAAGGAACAGACAGAAGGCTAAAGCCAAGACCAGGTATGATGGCTCATGCCTATACTCTTAGCTACTTGGGATGCAGAGATCAATAGAATCAAGGTTCAATGTTAGCCTCAGCAAAAAAAAAGAGAGAGAGAGAGAGAGAAAGAGAGAGAGATTCCCATCTTAACCAAAAGCTGAATGTGGTGGTTCATATCTATAATCCTAGCTGTATTGGAGGTGTAAGTAGGAGGATCAAAATACACACTGGCCTGGGCAAAAGATGAGACAGTGTCCAAAAGATAACTAAAGCAAAAAGGGATGAGGCTATGGCTCAAATGGTAGAGCATTGACTAGCAAGTACAAGGCCCTGGGTTCAGAACAAACACACACAGGCTAAGGAGTTCTGCAGTGATGGTGGGTATGGTGTATAGATTGTTCAAGATAGTCCAAAGATTTAGAGAATTAGACTCTAAACTAAAGGAAAAATAGAAGCCTTCATTTTTCACTAAGGAGAAGCCACATCAACTCAGAGCCTGAGAAATAGTGAGTTGTTTTAGGACAAATTCAAAATCATAGACTTCACTACTAAAGCCATTAGGAGGCAGAAATGATCCAGATTTATGACTATCTTCCTGTACCCTGTTGCTTCCATCTTCTTACCCTCCTACTGGGATGGCAGCAAGTGGACAGGGCTAAAGAATTCAACTCCAGGATCATTTGGATGGAGCTTCACATAAAGAAATAGCCCTCACGATTTAAGTTCCATATTTTCTTTATGCCACTGAAGAATCCTAAATTCTCAAAATTTAGAAGACCCATACTTGCCTTTGTTAGACAATGGAGACAGAAATGCAGAGAAGCCACTGAATCATTTAACTGTCTCCATAAACCTATAATGAACCAAAGTTTCATATAGTCTTGAAGGACAGGAGTCACTGACAAAGAGGGATAAAACTCAATTCCTTTCCATAAAACAGCACTGAGCTTTGCAAATGATGGTCAGAGTTGAGAAAGTCATGATGGTTATAATGGGCTTAGAAAACCGATTACTCTAATGTGCTTCTCAGAGAAGCAGACTCAAGTGTTTAGATGTCATAATCATTAGTAACTTAGGCTGAGCAAGATGATTATATCTACAATAATGCATTACACTAGCTCTTTTTCTCCAGGGGCTTCAATATGTTAATGAGGAAATAAATGGGCAAACTTCAGTTAGATCTAGTATCTAAGATGTTTTCTTATGAACAGTTTAATAAAAATGTATTTTAAGGTATCCTTCAAAATTATTAGGAGGTAGCTCCCAATCTAGAGGAAAACCATCAGCATAAAATCTATGAAAATAAATGTGAAATTTTTCCACACTCACATTTCTAGAGAAGAAACAACAGTTCCTTACACCTCTCTCATTGTCCTAGAATTGTTTCAGGCAGGGTTTCCTCATAGATGGAACATAGTGTGGAGAAATTAATTGGCTCTCATCACTTTTTGTCAAAGTTCCTGTTTAATCCCAACTTAAAGAGTTTCTATCTTTCATAAACTAAATGGCTTAGAAGTTATTCCTTTGTAATAAAGTAATAATCAATCAAGATTTTGAATATTTAACTTTTGTTTTATTGTTTAATTTTAACAATTAAAGAAAATTAGAAACTCAGCCAAATATTCTACCCTTTCATGTTAGGTGGGGTCAGCACCCTAACTGTCAAGAGGCAAGGACTGTGAACCTCGTGCCAAATAGCTACGTGAGCAAATAGTCAGATAAACAAGCCATTTGTGGAGACTGAGGTGGAGCTGGGGTTGGAATGAATCAGGACATCCCACAGAGTGGGTGTCTCCTTCCCAAGTTGCTCTCCAGGGCACAATTAAAACTCCTATAAAAGGCCCAGCTCCCAGTTACCCAGTACACTTGCCAGCAGTGTCAGCGAGCACTCGACTTCTTCCTCTGGTGAAGTGGGTAAGTCCCATTCTACAGGATCACATTCTTCGGTATCAGTCTTCCCTTCTCTGTCTGTGGGGCCTGGTTCCATGTGCCAAAGGGATCTATATCCTACAGTGTTAGCTAGCTCTCATTTATTCTAGCTCATCTTCTTATGGCTGGAGCCACTGCTTGAGTGAGGACATGGTCTTTCTCTCTGAACCAATACTCTTGCACATTAAGAGATGATGGGATTCAGCTTTCTAAAAACTGGTCTCTGGTCTCTTTTCATATGTTCTACCTAATTTTGACATCTTCATACAGTTATGGCATCTAAAGTGCTAAAGTTGACATTTGGAAAAGATGTCACTTTGATGAGACATCTATTCACATCCAACCAGCAAAGTCATCCATGTCGTCTCTTAACACTGATCTGCTCCTAGATAACTTTTTGTGTAATTTTTTTGCCATGCTGGAGATTGAACCCAGAGCCTTACACATGCTAGACAAGCTATATATTCCTAGCCCTCATGTTTTTAATATGCCAGATTCAAATGGTTTATTTAGGTTTAACAAAGATGAGCCATAAGCCCACTATCATTTACAGTTCTCCAGGTTCAATTTGGCCCATTGATTCTGGTAGCCAATCAGGGAGGATCTCTCTCTCTATCTTTCAATAGTTAAATATGTGAGTATCTATAATACATCTGAGTTAGAACAGGTAATATGTACTATGCTTTCTATATTGTGTCTGAATGTTACAATGCTATCTTTTTTTTTTTTTTTTTTTTGGGTCCGGTCGTGGGGCCTGAACTCTGGGCCTGGGCACTGTCCCTCAGCTCTTCAGCTCAAGGCTAGCGCTCTATCACTTGAGCCACAGCACCACTTCCGGCTTTTTTCTTTTTGCTTATGTGGTGCTGAGGAATCGAACCCAGGGCCTCGAGCATGCAAGGCAAGCGCTCTACCACTGAGCCACCTTCCCAGCCCCTACAATGCTATCTTTTGACCAGAAAGAAATATACAATCGGGCTGGGATGTAGCTCAGTGGCAAAGTATTTGGCTAGCAAATGCAGTGTCCTGGGTTCGATCCCCAGTACCAAAAAAGAAAAGACAGAAAAAATAGTTAAAAAAGAAATATACAATCTTACAATTTGTGACTTATGAATTATATTCCTAGATCTCCTATGGCTATAGATTTGGGGAATAATTCATGTTCCCTTTTCAGTGTTCTAATTGTTGCCACATGTTTTGCTGGCACCATTAGCTATCTACTTTAAGCTGTTCTCAAGACTTCCTTCACCTTTTGGCCCTCACCTACCTTCTTTGGTTAAGTCTAGAAGAAACTGCTTCTGAGTAGCAATGTATCCAACTTAAATTCCTTCTCTCTCTCTCTCTCTCTCTCTCTTTCTCAATGTCAATGCACTGAAGAGCTGGAAACAGAAAATGAAAGAATAGATAAACCAGGTTAGATGATGAACAGCTGACTACAGGGAACAGGGGAAGTCTGAAGATGACTTCCTGATTAAAAATTTCAGGATCTCTCTTCCCTTCCTGAATATAGCATTTAAAAATAAAATGCTCGAAGATCTCAGGCTGAAAATGCTGCTGAAAAATCCAATATATTTACAGATCTACCTAATATATACAAATGAAACCTTTTCAAAAGCAGAACTTTTTTCAGGATCATATTTTATTGTTCTAGGTTTACTTGAACTTGAAGAAAAGAAAAAAAAATGTCTCCACTTCTGAAAAGCATCTGTGACATCACTGAAGTTTTCTATCAATATGCCTCACATGAATATGATGGGGCATCACTAAGCAAGAAAGACCTAAAGAACCTCCTTGAACAGGAATTTGGAGCTGTCCTTCAGGTAAAAAAACTAGCAAAGAAATCTCTATGAATTTAGAAATATGAATTTTCTTCTCATGAGAGACTAGAGCAAGGAATGGGGACCTGTTCTCATTTTACAATATGGCAGGTGTACACTACAGATTCCTTCATTTCTGAATCTGAAGGTACTTCATTGGCATTGCAGTCTGACTATTAAAGAAGTTGCTAGCAACTATTTCATGTGTTTGATGGAACTGCCATGGGAATGAACTGTTCATGAGCCGTTACCATCAAAGATGTTAAATCAAATTAAATTCAAGGGACTTAAATTTGCTTCTAAATTTCAAGAATTGAAATCAGCCTGTTCTATACTAAAATAATGCTGCTCTTCCCCCCCCCCCAAAAAAACACCAAAATCTCCTTTTCAAACATGGAATAGAAATCAAATCTGGAGTTCAGGCTATTTTGGGTAGAAATAACTGCTGAAAATCTTCATAAAGTTTCGGTTTTATCTCTTAAGGATGAGTTTATTCTTAATCTCCCAATACTAAATTACAATATGCAAACCTTCCCAACAAATGTATGCTTTGAAGTGAAGTTCACATATTACAAGGGGAACAAAAGCACCCATACTGGGCATTTTTGTAATTGTTCTGAATGTCTCAAGTGTCAGCATAGCTTAAAATAATATGAGGGTGAAATTTTACTACCTGCCAGTGGTATAATGTAAAATCTTTGCTGTTGTTTTAATCTTTTCACAGAGACCACATGACCCCGAGACAGTAGATCTGATTCTGGAACTTCTGGATCGCGATGCCAACAACCGTGTGGATTTCAATGAATTCCTCCTGTTCCTTTTCAAGGCGGCTCAAGCCTGTTATTACGCCCTCGGCCAGGTTGTGGGGCTAGAGGAGGAGAAGCGAGTCCAGCGCGAGGGGAAAGGAGACCTGTTACAAGATCGCAGGCAAGAAGACCAAAGAAGATTCGAGACGCGCGACAGACAAGTCGACGAAGAACAACCCAGCCGCCGAAGCTGGCAGAAGAGTCAAGAACGGGAGAGGGAGCGCGCTGAGGAAGAGGAGCAGAGGAACAAGCAGGAGAGGCTGGAGCAGCTCGGCAGCCAGCGCCTGCAGGGACGAGAGAGGCAAGTGCGGGAAGAGCGCCGGGCCGAGGAAGAGCAGCTGAGGCGCAAGGGTCGCGACGCCTTAGAGTACGCCGGGGAAAGGGAACCGTACCGGCGCGAAGAGCCCAGACGCGAGCAGCAAGCGGAGCTGCGGCGGGAGCCGGAGGCGAGGCAGCTGCAGCGGCGCGAGCAGGAGGAGGAGAGGCTGGAGCGGGAGAGGCAGGGGGGCGAGGCGCGGCGGGACGAGACCCGCGCCCAGAGGTGGCAGCGGCAGCTAGAGAGCGAGGCAGAAGCCCGTCAGAGCAAGGTCTACGCCCGGCCCCGCAGGCAGGAGGAGCAGAGGTTCCGCCAGGAACAGCAGGAAGAGAGCAGGCGGCGGCTGGAGCAGGAGGAGGAGCGGCGCCGCGACTTCACCTGGCAGCGGCAGGCGGAGGAGGAGCGCGAGAGGCGCTTCCAGGAGGAGCGCCTGGAGCCGCAACAACGGTTCTACGGCGACGGCGACGAGGAGGAGCCCCGCCGCGACCGAGGCTGGAGGTGGCAACTTGAGGACGAAAGCCGGGGGCGCCGGCAGGTGCTCTACGCCCAGCCCGGCCGGCGGGAGCAGCAGCGCGAGGAAGAGCGGCTGCCACGCGGGGAGCAGGAGCTGAGGCGCGGGGAGCCGGACAGGCAGTTCGGGCGGGAAGAGCCGCTGCGGGAACTGGGAAGAGACCGAAGACGCCCGCAGGAGAGAGAGGCCCGAGAGGAGGAGCTGGAACGACAGCAGCTGCGTCGCCAAGAACAAGACCGAGAACTCCAGGAGGAAGAGCAGCTGCGCCGCCAGGAGCGCGACAGGAAGTTCCGACGGGAGGAACAAGAGCTGCGCCAGGAGCGGGAGGAAGAGCAGCTGCGCCGCCAGGAGCGCGACAGGAAGTTCCGCAGGGAACAAGAGCTGCGCCAGGAGAGGGAGGAAGAGCAGCTGCGCCGCCAGGAGCAGGACAGGAAGTTCCGCAGGGAACAAGAGCTGCGCCAGGAGAGGGAGGAAGAGCAGCTGCGCCGCCAGGAGCAGGACAGGAAGTTCCGCAGAGAACAAGAGCTGCGCCAGGAGCGGGAGGAAGAGCAGCTGCGCCGCCAGGAAGAGGACAGGAAGTTCCGCAGGGAACAAGAGCTGCGCCAGGAGAGGGAGGAAGAACAGCAGCGCCGCCAGGAGCAGGACAGGAAGTTCCGCAGGGAACAAGAGCTGCGCCAGGAGCGGGAGGAAGAGCAGCAGCGTCGCCAGGAGCGCGACAGGGAATTCCGCAGGGAACAAGACCTGCGCCAGGAGCGGGAGGAAGAACAGCAGCGCCGCCAGGAAGAGGACAGGAAGTTCCGACGGGAGGAACAGTTCCCTCGGGAGAGGGAAGAGCAGCTGCGCCGCCAGGAAGAGGACAGGAAGTTCCGCAGGGAACAAGAGCTGCGCCAGGAGCGGGAGGAAGAGCAGCTGCGCCGCCAGGAGCAGGACAGGAAGTTCCGCAGGGAACAAGAGCTGCGCCAGGAGAGGGAGGAAGAGCAGCTGCGCCGCCAGGAAGAGGACAGGAAGTTCCGCAGGGAACAAGAGCTGCGCCAGGAGAGGGAGGAAGAGCAGCTGCGCCGCCAGGAGCAGGACAGGAAGTTCCGCAGGGAACAAGAGCTGCGCCAGGAGAGGGAGGAAGAGCAGCTGCGCCGCCAGGAAGAGGACAGGAAGTTCCGCAGGGAACAAGACCTGCGCCAGGAGAGGGAGGAAGAACAGCAGCGCCGCCAGGAGCGCGACAGGAAGTTCCGCAGGGAACAAGAGCTGCGCCAGGAGAGGGAGGAAGAGCAGCAGCGCCGCCAGGAGCGCGACAGGGAATTCCGACAGGAGGAACAGTTCCCTCGGGAGAGGGAAGAGCAGCTGCGCCGCCAGGAACAGGACAGGAAGTTCCGCAGGGAACAAGACCTGCGCCAGGAGAGGGAGGAAGAACAGCAGCGCCGCCAGGAAGAGGACAGGAAGTTCCGCAGGGAACAAGAGCTGCGCCAGGAGAGGGAGGAAGAGCAGCAGCGCCGCCAGGAGCGCGACAGGAAGTTCCGTGAGGAGCCAGAGCTCCGACAGGAACGTGAGCAGCAGCTGCGCCGAGATCGCGACCGAAGATTCCAAGAAGAACTGCGCCAGGAAAGGGAGGAGGAACAGCTGCGCCGGGAACGCGAGAGGAAATTCCGCCGAGAGCAGGACCTGCGCCCGCAGAGGGAAGAGGAACGGCGGCGGCGCCAGGAGCGTGACGGGGAGTTCCGTGAGGAGGAACTCCTCCGTCAGGAACGTGAGCAGCCGCGCCGCCAGGAACGGGACCGAGAGTTCCGCGGGGAGCGGGAGCCCCGGCGGGAACGGGAGCAGCAGCTGCGCCAGGAACGAGACCGGAAATTCCGACAGGAGGAGCAGCTGCGCCGGGAAAGGGAGGAGCAGCAGCTTCGCAGCCGGGAGCTCGAGCAACAGCTGCGTCGTGGTCGTGACAGAAAATTCCAAGAGGAGCAAGAGCTGCGCCGCCAGGAACGGGACCGAGAGTTCCGCCGGGAGGAACAGCTCCGCCAGGAACGGGACCGAGAGTTCCGCCGGGAGGAACAGCTCCGCCGCCAGGAACGGGACCAAGAGTTCCGTGGGGAGCAAGAGCTTCGTCAGGAAAGGGAGGAGCAAGAGCTGCGCAGCCAGGAACGGGACCGAGAGTTCCGCCAGGAGGAACAGCTCCGCCAGGAACGGGACCGAGAGTTCCGCCGGGAGGAACAGCTCCGCCAGGAACGGGACCGAGAGTTCCGCCGAGAAGAACAGCTCCGCCAGGAACGGGAGGAGCAGCTGCTCCGCCAGGAACGGGACCGAGAGTTCCGCCAGGAGGAACAGCTCCGTCAGGAACGGGAGCAGCAGCTGCGCCGCCAGGAACGGGACCGAGAGTTCCGCCAGGAACGGGAGGAGCAGCAGCTACGCCGCCAGGAACGGGACCGAGAGTTCCGCCAGGAACGGGAGGAGCAGCAGCTACGCCGCGGTGGTGACCGCAAATTCCAGGAGGAGCAGGAGCTGCGCCAGGAAAGGGAGGAGCAGCTGCGCCGGCAGGAGCGCGAGCGCCAGTACCGCCGGGAGGAGCGGTTTGTCCGGGAGGACAGCGGCCGTCCGGAACGGGAACTGCGGCGTGAAGAGCAGATCCGTCGTCAGGAGCAGGAGAGGAAAGTCCAAGAAGAGCAGATCCGTCGCCAGCAGGAGGAGCAGAGGCGCCGCCAAGTCCGGGAGAGACAGTTCCAAGAAGACAAGCATCGTGGGCAGGTCCTGGAGCCTGGCCGAAGCCAGTTTGCCCACGTTCCCGTGCGCTCCAGCCCTCTCTATGAATACATCCAAGAGCAAAGGTCTCAGTACCGCTCCTAAGAGATGCTGCCAACATCCTGACACCTGCCGAAGCTTCAAGCCAAAGAAAATGAGAAACACAGCGTACCAAGTTATAACTTACAAGTTTCTGGTTGTGGGGAAAATCTCTGGTGTTAGAATGCGTCTTTTCTTCCAAAATCTCCTATTACACTTACTCCATTACTTTGTACTCCTGCCTTTCATTCTTCCTCGGGTAGTTCTTTATGGCAAGATGTCTGCTCATTGGGCCACATGTGTCCATTAAAAAAAAATACTTGTCATTCATTTGTATTGGGAGTTTTGTTTGAGAAACACATTGATTTATTGCTTTAAAAATAACAAAAATAATACAATTTGAGACTCGAAACTTTGGTCGATGATTTTAATGGCTGATCATCTTGTGGAGAATTCACATATTTTTTAAGTTAGTATTTTTACTTGGACCTAAATTTTGTTCGTCTTTATCTTCAAATAGTTTCTCTATTTTGTCATAATTAGCATAGATTCTACCAAGTAGCTAATATTTTACAACTCCCAATTCCATCTGCAGAAAAATCCCTTGTGAATTTAGGCAATACCTGGAAGAAATAGCTGTTGTGAATACGTTTTAACTTGAAATTTTCAAATTTGGGATTAGATATTTTTATACTTAACTCCACTTGAAACATTTTAAATCTCATGAAGCAAAATCAGGGTGTTTCTCATACTTCCAAACTCAAGTTTTAAAACTGTGTCTGTAGTTTGTAGTACTCAGTTCTATTCCCTCAAGTTCTGATGAGTTTGAGACTATTGCTGCTTTTGTTTAGCTGAGAAGGAGCCTAATCAAGATCTTATAAACATCTGTCTTGCTCTAGGGACAAAAGAGACCACAGCATGTTTGGGAGAGGGGGAAATGTAAGGTTTCTAGAAATCCTTTGATAAGACTCATCAGCCCCATAATCCTTTGAGGCCTGATACTACCTTGGAGACATTCTTGTTGAAATGATTGTCTTTGTGAAAATTTAATAAATGTTTGGCAAATTACTTTCTTGTCTGTTTTAATTGTGTATCAATCATAACTCAGTAATCAATATCTAATACTCTGGAAATGGAAATACATTCCTGTTCACTTAAGGTATTTTGTTACTATCATCTACATGTAAATATGAAGAGGGGAGATGAACACTTTCTAGTTTCCTCACCCATTTTCCCAGTTGAGGTGAATCTTGAATTATCTCCATCCCCTCATGAGTTCTTTCCAAATGTTTTCTATCCTTGATCTCACAGCCTTCTGTGGCCTTTTTGGCAGTGACTCACTAGTCATGGTAAATTCTGTTACTCCCAATGTTTGCTAATATTTCCTTCTGATATTGAAGCAGCTTCTTGATCACTGATGCTTGACCAATTAATGGTAGAAAATGTTCAGCACTATAGACATTGTAGGTGATCTGATTTAAGCAACATAATCCATGGGATGACTGAATCAGAAAATGTTAATAATAAGGCTGAAGGATTAAATTTTCATCTCATGATCCAAATGCTCTCTTTGCTAATAGCTAGAGTCTGTATGCATTATTCAGTTTAGTAATTAGAACATTTTAACTAGATCTCTTCCATTATAAATGGAACATCACTATTTCCAATTGTGAAGATCATGAATAAGAAAAATACCTAAAGTTACAGTCTCTCAATATTTTTGCCCAGTGATGGGGACAAGAAAGCTAAGCCTACATCTCTTGAGTATAATTCTGATTGAGTAAAGTGGGACTTCCTGCAGTGAGTCTGTCTCTCTGTCTCTCTCTGTCTCTTGCACTCTCTCTCTCTCTCACGCTCTCACTCTCTCGCTCTCTCATTTTAATACAAATAGAAGATGCCCACCAAAGACAGAGCTAAAGAATCTGACAATATCTTAGAATTTTGCTTCCTTCAAATAATTTCTAACTTTTTTTTTCTTCTAATAGCATGTTTCTCTTACTGAAGGAGAACCTAGAAGAGCCTCACTGGCTTTCTCTGAGTCCCACTCAAAGGGCACTTTTTTGGCAGTCTCCTTATAAATGACCAGTCCTAGGATACTACTGAAACTATAATTATCGGCTAATTCATAGTTAACAATAGTAATTATAGTAAAAAGAAAATAAAAGCCCTTTAGACTTCTTATAGTATTTTACAAGATAAGGAAAACATTAGTTTCCAAAGAAAGTACTGTTACATCATAGTTTGATACTATGATTTGTTGTTGTTGTAGTAGTTTCCAAAGAAAGTACTGTTACATCATAGTTTGATACTATGATTTGTTGTTGTTGTTTAAGTGTATCAGCTAACCCCTAGCCTCTAGCTGTTAGCACATACTGAGCAGGTCAATCCTCCTGTTCCAGGTGAATAATATGCATGTATGGGCACGACCTTGAGGGTGTTGGGTAATTATTTAACTATAAACTGGGATCTCTAGTAACAACACATTAGCTGCTACTGGAAGTTAGGTGAAGGGTTTAATATGCTATAATGAAATATTGGGTCTCTGTGTTATGAGCAGAATTGTGTCCTCACAGAGATTTATATGTTGATATCCTAACTCTCAGTAACTCAGAATGTACCCATACCTGGAGATCATATATTTAAAGATATAATTAAAATGTATTTGTTAGGTTGGGTTCTGATCTGATATGACTGCTATGGTTAAATAAGAATAAGAAGGAAACTGAGGGGAGATGATGCAAAGTCATAGGGAGAGGATGGTCATTCGTGACTAATATAGAAGCCTGGAACAGATCCTTTCTTTATGGCGCTCAAGAAACTGAGTCTACTGACACCTTGATCTTGGATTTCAAGCTCCAGGACTATGAGAAAATGAATGTCTTTTGTTTAATCCATTAGTAATGGTACTTTGTATGACAACCCTAGCAAATAAAGGTGGAACTATGTTGATAGGTAAGCCTACATGTATTATGATAATCCTTTGACATTGCAAAGCAGGTCTGGTTGCTTAAAGATACTCATTAAATCTATCATTTCTATGGTGTAAGGGAAAAAATTAAATCCCTGGAGTTCAGTTATCTGTTCACTCTACAAATATTTATTGTACATAATATTGTACTCCTGTTATGTGCCAGACATTGTTTCAAGCAATGTACATTCAGTGGCAAGACAATTTTGGCTTTTTCCTTTGGTTTACTGTGTGTGACCTCATGTAAGCTATGTGAGTTTTCTGAACTCCATTGTTGTATCACATAGGCGATTGCCAAGATTGGGCTGTGGGGGGGACATTCAATTCTAACATTCAAATTCTGACATTCAATTTGTTCAACTGAAACTCTGAAAGTAACTCAAAGAATCTTTGCCCCAATGTCTACCTTTAACTAATACAAAACAGGAAAACAAATTAGCCAATATGCAACCATGGGCCTGCTTCAATTTCATAACTATCTCCTTTGCAGCCAACTAGTGCTGAAATTCCCTCTATCTCCCCCAAGCTCTTCTTTTTACTTTTATCAAGGCAGAGAACTCTAAACTGATTCCATTTTCTTTACCCCAATACTACCAAAGATCATTGCCTTTCTGATCTATTAACTTCACAAATGCATTTGTTTTCCCCATTATTTTCTAATTTAGTTCCACTGCAACTAAAATTCAGCGGCTATTAGTGTTACATGACCCTAACTCTCCTCCATCTTTTGCACTAACTACACATTGTTAATATTTGAATTCAGTCACTTTTATTATGTTTTTCAGCATTTACTGTAATATTCTGAAGATTTTAATCTATGTAATATGATATAAGCACATTCCCCTTGTTAGTAGAGTTGAGAGCTGCATGCAATAATCTGAAACCAAAGTTACATTTCTGAGCTGGTTTTTATTTTCTGGACCTTCAGGATGTGCACGGCAAGCAAGCAATTACAAAAACTTTTAGAAATTTGATTTACCACTACTCTCCTTAAATATGTGGCATATTTGCCGGGCACCGGTGGCTCACGCCTGTAATCCTAGCTACTCAGGAGGCTGAGATCTGAGGATCGCAGTTCAAAGCCAGCCCAGGCAGGAAAGTCCCTGAGATTCTTATCTCCAATAAACCACTAGAAAGCTGAAAGTGGTGCTGTGGCTCAAGCGGTAGAGCACTCAACCTTGAGCTGAAGAGCGCAAGGACAGCGCCCAAGCCCATAGTTCAAGCCCCACAACCAACAAAAAGCAAGAAAGAAAGAGAAAGAAAGAAAGAAAGGAAAGAAAGATGTGGCATTTTTTACAAGATAATGTCCAATTCCTTTTGATTGGAATGGAAGGCCTGCCACATTCTAGTGTCAATCTATCTTTTAGACTTTGGATCCCACGCTATCTCTGAACCAACCGTATGTATTTTCATTTGGAAACAATATCATTTTCCTTACTTCAAAGACAGGTTGGTATAGTTTTATCTGCTGGAATACCTCTTTCTTCTCTACCAGATCCACTCTACTCAGTTTATAAGACCTAGGTTCAGTCCCAACTACTTTCTAAAAATCTTTCCTAATCACATTGACACACAAAGATATTTCTCTTCACTGAGATTCTAAGGCATCTATACTCTTTGCTACTCATGTGATTACAATAGTCTGCCTTCGTTGATGTTACACCTGCTTCCTCTTCTTAGCTAGATGTAAATACCTTGTAAATAAGAAACTACAACTTGAATGGCTTTTCTTTTGTCCATTCTTTCTATGTTCAACAATAAGCAACATAGCTCTAGGAAATCCTGAGGAAATAAAAGGATTTTCTCACTAGAAAAACATACATTCAAAAACGTGTTGGGGATGGGGGGAGGGTGGCTCAGTGGTAGAGTGCTTGCCTTGAGCTGAAGAGCTAAGGGACAGTACCCAGGCCAGAGTTCAGGCCCCAGGACCGACAAAAAAAAAAGTACATTTGGAGGTTCTTAGTTTTCTAACAAGCCTTCTTAACTTCATGCTACTGTCTCAAGGAGTTGTAAGAATTAAGATGCATAAAAGTAGGCATTCAGTAGATAGGTATAAAGAAGTGAACTAATATAGCTTTTTACAGGAGTAGATCAAAGAAATGATGATTTCTGGATATATATTGTTGGGAGAAGGATGAGTGCAGTGAGAAGCAAAAGAGATTTCAATCCCAGACTGTGTC